GTTCCTGCACAGAACTCTCACACCGGAGGGGTTTTCCGGTGAAGAGCCTCCGATGCTTAAGTCAGTATGTGTTTGTTCAATTTTCCAAAGTAAAGAATGGATAAATCGTAGGCTACAAGAAAAGACCCACTCCCATATATATAGGAGTGAGATACCTGCCCTAAAAACTGCCCTGCTTTTGGTGAGCTGTCCTGCCCGTACTGCCCGTCCGTACACACATAGTGTACGTGTGTCAGAGATGTCAGGGGTAGTTTTCGCCACTATCACTCTGCACCAATATATTCTCGCCACGTGTCCCTCTGAGCTGAGGGAGATTATTATTCTGCGCAGGCCGTTGAGATCTTCTAACGTCATCCACGCGCCTTCTCGCGTTCAAGCCACGCCCTAGACTGCTCTTCACCTGTTGAGTGCTCGATCTCCTCCCTTTTGGTCGATCCTCGACCAGCTCTGCTATTCTGCTCGATCTCCTCCTTTTTGGTCGATCATCTTTCTCCCAATCCGGTTTTCTCCACTTCGAGGTTGCTCGACCGATGATGCAAACCGGTCTATTCCTCAGCTATATAATATCCCATATCATATTAATATACTTTTTTCATTATAATTAATTATATTTTATACTATCATAATTTATAATAACTATATTAATATAATATATATTATATAATATATTAATTCTATTAATATATATTTATATAAAATATATATTAATATTATTAAATTATACATATTCATATATATGAATGTATAATAATATATATGAAAATATTAATATATATAATTTAATATATATTAATTTAAATTATTAATATATTTTAATTATTAATCAAACTTAATTATTAATTTTTTTTCATTTATTATAAAATATATAATAATATATATGAAATTATTTAAATATATTTTTTATATTTCAACATTTTTTAATTAACAAGAATTAAAAACCACGAAAATTTTAAAAAAATACAATTAATTTATATGTACAAATAGTTAGAAATGGAAATAGAATTTATTATTATTTTGTTAGAGGTTAGAATTTATTGTATTATAGATTAGAATTGATTATGTTATAAATTAGAATTTATTACTATTATGTTAGAAGTTAGAAATTATTATGGTATATATTAGAATATATTGCAATTTTCATGTTCATTTAGTTAAATTTAATCATTTATCAGTTTAAGATAATAATAAGTTTAATTAATGATAATGTGATATTCATATTGACATACATAGTGAAAGTGTGTTAAAGCATGCATCATTTAGTCCCATATTGATTTTGAAAGCAAAAAAGAATGCAAAAAGTAGTTATAAAGGTTTGAGACAATCCCACATCGATTACAAACACAATAATGAAGGCTAAGAGTGGCTATAAAAGGTTGGGAGAGTGAAAACTTTGATTTGCAATTATCCCACATTGAATGAGAAAGTTCAATGTAAGGCAATGAATAGCTATATATGTTGTAACAACTTGCCTTAATAACTATTAATCGGTTTCTCTAATAATTAATAGTAGTAAAAAAATTATATATTTTTTTAAATATTTAATTTAAAAAAAAAAAAATGGGTCGGCCGCGCGCGGCCGAGTGAGTTGCGGCCGCTATTACCGGTCGCGTGCGGCTGGCCGAGTTGCGACCGCAATCAGCCTTCCGCCGGTCGAGTTGCAGCCGCAATCAACGACCGGCCGGTTCTAAAAAGAAAAAAATTGAAAATGTTGGCTCCAGTCTGGCTGGTTTGACAGGTCAAACCTGCCGGTTCAGCCGATCAAACCGGCCGATTTGACCGACCGACCCCCGCATGACCGGTCTTGTTGGATAGCATTTTTTTGCCGGAATTATTTGGAGGTACTTTCGAAATTTTTCGGTGCTCGGTTTGACCGATAAATAGGTTAGAAGGTGGGACATTATTTTTTTAAAAAAAATAAGAATAAAGGGCAAAACTGTCATTTTAGGGTGCGGTATTAGTAAAATGAGTGCGGTATTTAGCAATTCAGTTTATTTTATGGGTTGTGTAATGACACCAGGTTAGTCATCACTCGACTTGGAGATCGCATTGTTGAGGCTAAGGTTCTATCGGGAAGGAATATTAGGAGCAAAGTACTTATTCCGCGGATGTTATTGATTCCTTCTGATGTGAGATTGTCTTTCAAGTTTCAACGAAGACATTTCCCACTTATGGTTTGTTTTGCAATGACTATTAATAAGAGTCAAGGACAGACATTGTCTAACGTATTCAGTCATGGTCAACTTTATGGTGTATTATCTAGAGTTAAAAGTAGGAGAGATTTGAAAATTTTGTGTTGCGATAAGGATGAAAAAATTGTAAATAAAACTATTAATGTAGTGTACAAAGAAATTTTTTAAAATTTGAAATAATATCGGCTTTGGTATTTTCTATTTTTGTAATTTTATACGACAACATATGTTTTTTATATTATTTTATGTTTTATATTTTTTCTTTCAAACAACCCGTGTGGTACACGGGTGTCGTACTAGTTCTCTTTTATTTGTGAAACAATAGATATCAAACTAAAGTTATTTAACTATATAAACACGATCTTTTATTAAGACTACGTTGTGAAATCTAAATGTTGATATGAACATTTAATATCAAAAAATTATTTGCTTACTATTATACGAGTATATATAAAAAATTATGAATTATCTTTTCACAACAACTAGTACGAATCCCGTGCGATGCACGGATAAGAAATATTCATTAATATTATTTATAAATTATAAATACTCATTAAATAATATTTATAAATTAGAAATATGGAATCAATATCTAATACAATTTACCTATATTAATTTGTTGAAAATGTTATATGAAATTTAAATTGTGCAATATTACATAAAACATGTCTATTTAAAATGAGGACACGACCCGTACGGTGCAAGTAACTGATAATAATTCATTTAAAAAATATATGTCATTTTAAAATTTTTATTCAGAAATTTGATTTGACTACAATGTGATTAAGTAAATATATATATATATATATATATATATACACACACACACACACCAAATAATTTGATATTACACACATTTATAAAGAAGAATCGACCATAGTATTATCATATTTGGATAAATTAGTCGATTCACATAATTTGAGTAATTAAGGTATCTTAAAGATAAATTTACCATAAGTGATTATTTGAAATATACCATAATTTGTTAGATTAATTTGAGTAATTAAGGTATCTTAAAAATGAATATTAATATGGCTTAATTATTTCAATAATTAATGAACCGCAATTTTCATAAGTGATTATTTGAAATATACCATAAATTGTTAAATTAATTTCCCAAAATAGTAAATAGATTTTTTTTAAAGGGAAATAGTTACTATTTAAAAAATAATCAAACTTTTTTATATAGATATGATATAGATATGGATTACAAGTATTAGAATTACAAAGATTCTTTCAATAATTGACACAACTATTATGGTCCAACTAAATATGTTTATGAATTTGTTATCAATATGATAATAAATTTACTGTAGATAAATAGAATTGAAACTTTCTCATACACAGATACATTGATATTAATCTTGTGAAGAAAAATGATTTAATGAATAATGACAATATAATCTTAATATAGAATAAAATTAAAGATAAATATAAAGTGAAACAGAAGTATGTACTATATCTTTTCACGGTTTTGCTATGAAGCCAACAGTTGGCTCCATAGTGGAGCCAACCTTCCATATACAACAAATAAACCTACCATATTAATAAAATTATATTAATGTTATTTAAGTAATCAGAGAATATGGTAGGTTTATTTGTTGTATATGGAAGGTTGGTTCCACTATGGAGCCAACTGTTGGCTTCATAGCAAAACCGTATCTTTTCATCAACCAATTTAAAACAAAATGCAAATATATTTTTTGAATGCTGGTCAAACGCATCCGGTAGCTATGGTACATTACCACCTCAACACAAGTTGCAAATATTGCCACTAAACCATGTCCAATGCTTTCATAATGAAAGTATATGTGAAGGCATCTTCCTGCAGCTTCTCATACCTGCATATATATATATGGGAAATGCTCTCTTGTCCACGATGGACACATGTTAATATGTCCACCGCTTATGTGCCATTCACACATTGGTGATGTATTTTTTTTAACATATTAACATCACCAATGTTTGCATGTCACATAAGCGATGGACATATTAACATGTGCCCACCGTGGGCATGAGAGCATTTCCGATATATATATATATATATATATATATATATAATTTAAACAGAGGGTTTTGTTTTCCCATTCAATTCTTTAAAAAAAACAATATGGTTGACAAATATAGAAAAATACATATCTTAGGAAAACACTCAAAGGATTTGACATTCTTACCGTCCAGATTTTGAAAAATGTCCGGCACCAAGTTCATATTATCATCAGTTTTCATCTCTCTCAACTTTGCAACAAATTTGGCTGCTTCTGAGTACGACCCGTGTATCTGTCATATATATATACAAGTTTAGAATTTTTTCCAATAAAGAAAAAATGATTGACTTAACAGAAAAGAAAGATCCATCAACCATGTTTTCATCATGCCAGTGACTCACGTAAAACAGAGAGCTCTATGGTACAGTTCAACAATACCATTCCAATATTCACTCCATCCCAAAAGGATAGACCACATTTCTATTTAAAGCATCCCAAAAAGATAGTCCTATTGCCTCAAATGAACTGTGACAACCAATCAATAGAACATCCATCTGTATGAGAACCAATAAAATAGAGGCACTCTATACTTTCCTACAACAGCGATTATGTGTTATTAAACTGTGTGACTGTAAACATCGAAATTTTAATATTTTATTAATTAATATCTTTATTTATTTTAGACATAAATCCATAAAAAATAAGATATATAATTAATAATGTTATTATTTCTTACCCACCAAGTCAAATCTTATGATAAGAAAGAATCTTAGGATAATGAAAGAGATTATATCAAATCTAGAAGGACCAATCAAATCGGTGTCTTCTTCTCCCAGACTATCTCTCCTACACCTATAAATAGGGCTCTCCTCAATGCCCAAATCACACCTCATAAATTAAATCTCAAATCCAAAAGCTCTCAATAATTCTCTTCAATATCCAAAGGTGTTCTTCAACACCCAAGACACCTCAAAAAATCCAACACCTCAAAAGTTTTATGTTTTCCATAAAATTTGTTGTTACAAATTTGGCACGCCCAGTGGGACTTTCTCTACCTCTAATCTCTTCACTCCAAATCAAGTTCGAAGATTTTTGAAGATGCATGAAGACCTCTTTGAAGAAAATGTACATGGGGCCAACGAAGGATGATGTTTTCCTAAGTCAAGAATCCGTCAAAAATCATCGTGTTCATCAAACATCCGAATGGAGGAAACAAAAGTGAGCTTCCATATTCTTCTCAAATTCCATGGGGGCAATTTACATGAAGAGCTCAATCAAATCCTCAAATTCAAATGCTCCTTGATATGTGCCGAAACTATCTACAAATACAAATGCTCCTTGATATGTGCCTAAACTATCTACATATTCAAATGCTCCTTGATATGAGTTTAAACTATCTACATATTCAAATACTCCTTGATATGAGCTTAAACTATCTATATGACTCCTTGACACGAGTATAAAATGTCTACATATCGAGATCTCCTTGACATGAGAATAAAAGGTCTACATATCAAATTCGAGGCTCCTTGACACGAGCATAAAATGTCTACATATCAAGATCTCCTTAACACAAGAATAAAAGGTCTACATATCAAGAACTCCTTGATACGAGTTTAAACTATCTACAAATCAAGTCAAATGAAGAACTCCTTGATACGAGTTTAAACTATCTAAAAGTCAAGTCAAATGAAGAACTCCTTGATACGAGTATAAACTATCTGCATGTCTCAACCAAAATCGAAACTTTGAGACTCATTCACTACCAAGACATTTTGTCCGTGAACAAGTCTCAAGGGGGCATTTGTAGACATTGAAATTTTAATATTTTATTAATTAATGTCTATTTATTTGTGGACATAAATCCATAATAAATAAGATATATAATTAATAATGTTATTATTTCTTGCCCACCAAGTCAAATCTTATGATAAGAAAGAATCTTAGGATAAGAAAAGAGATTATATCAAATCAATAAAGACCAATCAAATCGATGTCTTCTTCTCCAAGACTATCTCTCCTACAGGCTCTCCTCAATGCCACAAATCACACCTCATAAATCAAATCTCAAATCCAAGAGCTCTCAATAATTCTCTTGAATATCCAAAGGTTCTTTGTTCTTCAACACCCAAGACACCTAAAAAAATCCAACACCTCAAAAGTTATATGTTTTTCATAAAATTTGTTGTTACAGTAACATTTGTCTTAACAGGACAAAGGAAGTAGTAGTATACAATAGCAACTTCAAAAATAATTGATTCGAAGCAATGCAAAAAATATATCTGAGGGATCAAAAGTAGAATGTTATGCACGAATTCATGAGGAAAACATATATCGGGAATGATTAAGCGAGATATTTTGCGGATATACTCTTGATTGCTGGAGAGTCATTTACTACTAATTAAGTACAAGGCAGATATTCTCTTGCAAAGCAGATACACTATAGTCAACATAACGAGGACACAACTCTCTATTCCATCTCCTAACCTCGGTTACTATTAAACAAGGAGATTTTCTGGGTGAAATACATGCCGCTAATCATCTCTAGCAATTAGTCACAATAAACCAACGAGGCGACTTTGCGCTCCTTAGTCCCCCATGATGGTTTATTTCTTTACAAAGTTTGTGTCTACCTTTCACATGGATTATGCCTAGTTTATCTAATATTCAATATTCATGACAGCACCCATCAAGGCATCCAAAAAAACCTAACACTGAGTACAAAATGATTTTTATTGGAAGGGGATGAAGGCAAGGATTAGAGAGTATGTGGCAGCTTGCGTAGTCTGTCAAAGCAATAAAGCTCGACATTTGAGTCCGGTTGGCGCTGGCCCATTGCAAAACCCTAGAGTTTTTT